GGCGCCTGTAGTCCCAGCTACTTGGGAGGCTGAGGCAGGAGACTCGCTTGAGCCCAGGACTTGGAGGTTGCTGTGAGCTGTGAGGCCATAGCACTCTACCCAGGGAGACAGCTTGAGGCTCCGTCTCAGGAAAAAAAAAAAAAAAGAAAAGACCCAGTAAGTCAGCAGGGACTGAGATAGCATGAACTCCCCAGAAGAGCAAGTGAACCACCAAGAGCTTACAGCCCAGTCACTGGTTGACATTTAGTGATTACTTTACTGAAGAGTTGCCTTCATGAAAATGCTTCTGATCACAGCTGGTTTATCTCCAAACTGTGACTTCAGATGTTCCTTTATGTTTGGTAAGATGGTCGAACCTGTTCTGGAGAATTAGGAAAAAGGGAGGAGGAGGAACTCGCATTTCCCTGTTTGCAATGAACCTCACCTAAGTTTTCACTGAGAATGTGAATATCACAGTTTGGCACCAGGCATAAAAGCAGATTCATTCAATATTATTTCTACAAAGAACAAAAAATATAAATAAATAAAAAATATATTAACTGTAAGTTTTCCATGGATTATCAAGTCTACAGAATGTCAAGACCTCTACTTGGCGTTCCTCTTCCCGTTCTCCAGTGGTGAGGGGAGAGGGAGCTTTTATGCACGAACGGTCTGTGGGTACCGCAGGCAGGAGGCAAAGGAGAGAGGCGGGGACATGAAGTTCCTTGTGTGCCTTCCAGCTCCCTCGGCACGTCCTGGTCAGCGAATCAAAGCTCAGCATTCTTCACACGGAGGGGCTTCGGCTTTCTTGCTTTTCTATGACCCCCTGGAAGCACGCCTGAACTTTTTTTTTTTTTTTAAAAACAAATCTTAGTATGGAAGGAGCACCATGACTACAAACAAATCCTAGTACACAAGGAGAACGGTGACTCTACCATGCCTGAACATGGCACTGAGTTATCTAATCCAGAATAAACCATGTATCGAAACCTAAAAGAGAAATTTCTACAGTCCTGAGATAGCCCCTTAATCCTGGTATTTAAACACTGTGGGGCACATGGGGACAACCAACTTGATAAAGGAGAGGACCAAGTTGAACACTGAAATTTAAAAGACAGACTGAAGTTTTCGTGGAAAGAAATCTAAATCTTTAACAAGAAAGCTGTGATTTAAAGCAACAAGGACATCAAAAAGGAGGGACAGTGAGTGTGTAAGCTGGTTAAGGAGGGAAAGTTAGTGTGTAAGCTGGGTGCAGGACGGGGTACGGTGAACACTCGAGTGGAAGGTGCAGGAGCCCACACCCACGTGGCCTCTACCCCACTTCCCCAGAGCCACGAGGACTACCAGGGGTCACCAGGCAGGACTGTGAGGACTTGTTTATCTATCTAGCAGTGTAGTCCCGATCCCCATTCTGCTGTGACAATTTGAAATTTTTGAAACCTTTTATGAAATACTATAATTAAAACTCCCTTAGAAGCAAAAGTTTCCATCTCCACAAAAAACTTCAGGGAAAAACATAAAACAAAGTAAAATATAAAGTTTTAAGGAAAGTAATACGTAAGGGTCCTAATTCTGCCTAAAAAAAGAAATGTTGGTCCACATCTCAAAACATACACAGAGTAAGCTTCAGGATCAGGTTCAGGTTCCATTTTTAGCAACCTAGCGGGGATCTCTGTTTCCTCATCTATAGAGTGCAGAGGAAATGCCCACCTCTGAGGACAGAAGACAGGCACACGCAGGTCCTGGCTCAAGGGACAGACTCCACTGCTGTGCCCAGACACAGCCCTGTGATCTCAGTCCTTCCCTGGACTATCTCCCTCAGCTCTGACCATGTGAGAGCTAAACTGTCTCTGGTCTCCCCTGACCTCTGGGGGAAAGACCCTCTCTTCTCTGAGCCCGTGTTTTCTCTCCTGGGTTCACGTCAGCCTCCCCATGTCTCCTCACCTCTCCTGGAGGTCTCTCTGGCCTGATTTTCATGACCTGTTTCACCCTCAATCCATTCCCTTCCATAATTACTAGTTCATTTATCTGAAAACTTTCTAGCTTTATTCTAACACCTCTTCTAACCTTCTGAAGCCAGAAGGTTTGTTATAGCTTTTACTCTAAGACACACATGCTGAGTCCTGGAGGATATATGTACAGCAGCAGGTTCTATACAAGGCCAAGGATATAAACCAAACCATGACGGTCCCCAGACACAAACAAATCCCTTCGCCCTGCGTATTTATACAGTGCTGTGCTAACACCATGGATTATCTACCAGAAGATTTCTTTTTTCGGGGGCGGGGACAAGGGAAGTGTGACATTTTTAATAAGAAAATAAGAATGTCTAATAATAAATGATAAATAATTAAGTAGAAAGCCAGGCACCTTCCTGCATCAACACTTAGAAGCTCTGTGACTCCATTCAGTGTTTAGGCGCTTCTAATGACAGTGACACAGCTGGTCTGCACAGCCCGTTGACACCATTTGTGTCGGACATTTTTATTTTCATTTTAGCCTAAGTGGATCATTTCTATTTTCTCAGATGTCATTTTTCACATTTTTTTAAATGCACGTATTTCTTTTGTAGGAAAGGATAAAGCAATTAAAAACAACAGCTCTACTGGAATTCAAGACACATGAGATACATGAAGGTATGACAGCAAATTTCATTAAACATGCTCGTTAGATGTTTAGGTAACTTTCAGGTACCCACACAACACACGTGGTTCCCTCTTCAGAGCTTTATCTAACTCCTGTTCCAGTCCTGATGGAAAGTGCCATTCCTGACTCACAGGAGCACAACCTGACTGGAGTCTGAGTTTAGTGTCACACACACTCACCTGTGACTTGTTTGTCTGGGAGAGAAGGTATCGGAATGGCTGACCCAAACTTGACCAGGAGACGCTCATATAACCAGTCAAAGTGTTTATACCTGTGGTTTACAGATCGATTAGTGTTCTACAAAATAAGGGAAAGAGAAGAAAAAGTTACCAATGCCAACTATGTTTGAAAACAAACAAACAAAACCAAGTGGCAAGAGGCACTGCGAGCCAACTGTTTGGTGGCTGGGAACTCACAGTAGGTGTTAGCTGGTACTCGATGTAGCTCTTCAGACCATACATCTTGGATCCTTTCTTGGGATCTGCTACCACACAGTCAAACGTAGAGGTAGGATAAACCCACATCGGGCCATAATCTCCAACCTACATGAGGTTCCATGGAGAGTTAATTTTGTTACATGGAAAAATAGTAAATACAATTGATGTAAACTGACAAATAATTCTCTTTAGAACTAAAAGTCCTTTGGAGGGAAATTCTTATTCTTCTTTGAGAAGTTACGTCATGGTTTCTATTCCTGTTAGGCACAGTAGAAGAACCTCCCTAGCTGACCCCTCCCTCAGTTGACCTAAAAACCATCTCACAGACTGGACATGCACCACACATACCTATCAGAACAGCAGGCCTAGTTCCTTACGTTGACCAGTTTGTTACTGTCCCTTGGGTGGTCACCTTACAAGGCTCTCTTGTGTTATATATAAAGAACACACTTGGAGGACAGAACACAGGCCGCTCAGCCCATGATGTGGGACACCAGCCTGGTGGTGGAACACAAGGCGCGTGTGTGTCTCTCTTGTCTGTCTCAAGCTGTATGTGAGGGGTGAGTTTTAAAAAATTTGCCATCGGGCAGCGCCTGTGGCTCAAAGGAGTAGGGCGCCAGGCCCATATGTCGGAGGTGGCGGGTTCAAGCCCAGTCCCGGCCAGAACTGCAAAAAAAAAAAAAAAAAAAAATTCCCTTCTCCCATGGATAGTTTTGTGAAATATAAAATCACACATTTTGATTTTTCAACAATGTCAAATTGCTATCAAGTTTACTAAACATGGCTCAGCGCCTGTGGCTCAACCGGCTAGGGCGCCAGCCACGTACAAATCCAGCCACGTTCGAATCCAGCCTGGACCCGCCAAACAACAATGGCGGCTGCAACCAAAAAATAGCCGGGCATTGTTGGCGGGCACCTGTGGTCCCAGCTACTTGGGAGGCGGAGGCGGAGGCGGAGGCAGGAGACTCGCTTGAGCCCAGGAGTTGGAGGTTGCTGTGAGCTGTAATGCCACGGCACTCTACCCAGTAGGACAGCTTGAGGCTGTCTCAAAAAAAAAAAGTTTACTAAACATTCTCATTTTCTGTATTTATAGCAGATTAGTTATAAGCAGTTTTCAGATGAGCAGCAGGTCCATGGATTATATTTTTAGAAATGACTAATCTGGCTTGGCGCCTGTGGCTCAACTGGCTAAGGCACCAGCCACATACACCCAAGGTGGCGGGTTCAAATCCAGCCCGGGCCGCCAAACAACAATGACGGCTGCAACCAAAAAATAGCCGACCATTGTGACGGGCGCCTGTGGTCCCAGCTACTTGGGAGGC